TTTTTTTTTTTTTTTTTTTTGTATTTGTTTTTTCTGATGATAAATGTTTATTTTTTACAAAGGATGTTTTTTGCCTCTCTTTTTTTCAGCTAGGTTCAACAAAAGTACAGATGGAGTGAACTAGACATGCCTATCAGGGGCTTCTGCACCTTCAGGGAAGATCTAGTGTATTTTAAAAACCCTCCATTTTGATATTCCAGAGAAAGAAATAACTTTTGTAGTGCTGTCAGTCTTGAATCAAGATGGAAAGAACTGTTGGAAATCTCTATATACAACCCATTAAATTGGGGGAAGTTCTGTAAATTTTCAAACTCGTAGTTCGTCACAGCATTTTAGCTCTTTGAGCTATTTAGCTAATAGTAAGAACACGGTTGAATTTAAATTCCTTTGTATTTGGACCTGATATACCACTTGTTCCTGTATCAACATTGAACTGTAGGTCAGAAAAGTTCTGACTGCAGTTGGTTGGAACTGTGTTTAAATTAAACAAGTATTTCAACTATGAATTAGCAGTAAATAAAGAAGACCGTATGGACAGTCACTCTGTCTTGTAAAACGTTCTTTTATTAATCTGTTTCTGATTGTTTGCACTGATTGTGAGAGAGTTGATGAGAACGAGCCCCGTTATGCATCTGGTATCAGCCTCGACCATTCCGTTATTGCTACATCTTCTTTTAACAAGCAAACTATTGAGTGAAACAAATTCACAAGGGAAAAGCATTTTATGATCATGTACAAATGGTTAGAAACACCAAAAATGATACAAAACCAAAGACCCTGTGTCAGGATAAGGTAAAAAGGAACATCCCATGGACTGACTAACACACCTCGGTGCTCTTAAAGCTGTGTTTGAACCTTATAGGCGTCCGCTCACGGCTGCAGGCGAAAGGCTGCAGCTTTTGTCCCGGGTCCTCCATTCCGCAGCAAAAGTTCTGGTGATTTTAACAGGTAAAAAATGAGTTCGAAATATCACACGGATGGATTGTTTTCTTTAAGAGGAGGGACTTGCGTTTTGAGAGAAATCGTTGGAGAGATGTGTTCCGTCAGCAGCTCTCAGTCATCGTCAGCACCTGCAGCACATGAAAGCAGAAAATGTTAATATCCCTCTAAAAAAAATACACGTGACTCTGCAGCAAATGGAGAGTTATTCAGCAGACTGATGACTTTTATCAGCTCAAATTAAAATTCTAAACACACCCTGAACTTCATGGATATCATACATAAATAACACTCCCATTTGTTTCTCTGTTTCATATGTCACCAATTAACAATGCACTTAATCTAATGAGAGAGAGCAAACCAATTTTATATACAGTATTACCATGAAAAAGTTAAGTAATTTGCACTTCTATAATTCTTTATTTTCATCAAAAATCCTCCATTCGACCCTAAATGTCTCTGGTAAAGTTCTAATAAAAAAACCTGTAGGAGAGATCACAATCAAAACCAAAGACCCTGTTTTCATTGATGTATTTACAACAGAACTATCATGTCTCCTCCTCAATCCTACTCGTGGTTCCGAAAGTTACTTAAAGTTAAACGGGGGGGGTAGAGCCTTCAGTTATCAGGCCCCTCTTTGTGAAACCTACTGTCTATATTTGGGTTCAGGAAACAGACACCAGCTTTACCTTTAAGGTTAGACTTAAAACTTTGCTTTTTGACAAGGTGTCCCTGAAAACATCCCACGGTTATGCTGCTATACAATAAGACAGATGGGGGATATCCTATGGTGCCCCCCTCTTTCTCTGCTATCTTTACTCTATCCCCCAATCTGGTTCTGTCAGAGGTTACTTCCTGTTAAAAAAGGTTGTTTGTTGTTCCACCGTCACCCAAAGGTCTGTGACGTTTGACTCGGATTTCTTGGCTCAAGCTTAGAGAGCAACTTTGGAGGTAACCCTCCTCCTGATCTATTTTTCTAATTTCTATTTTTTTTCTGCCGTTGCTTTAAAAAAAACAAAAAAAAACAGCATGAATTTTTTTTTTTTTCAGCACTTCTGCTGTCTCATCCTGTCCTGCCGGCGATTATCCGTCCTGGAACAGTGCTCGGTCAGCCATAAGCCCGTTGGTCCTCTGCCGCCTTTCAAAGTCACTCTGGCTTTCATTTCCACCAGAGAGCAAATATGAGACACGTGACAGTCTGAAATGCTCAGCCTGGTCTACTTCTTGCTGTGCAGTGGGGACTGCATTAGGACAAACACAAACAGACTCAAGAACAGCTTTTTCCCGAAAGCCGTAATCAATCTGAACTCTAACATGAATGGATTTTCCCTTTGTGAATCCATACTCTTACATGCAATATATATATATATATATATATATATTTTTTTTTTAATCTGTAAACACCAAATTTACAGCCACTAACACCATATTTATTTATTACCACTGAATTCCTCAATGACTGTGCACCCTAGAATCTTGTTATCATGTTTATATTGTATATACTTCATATTTTTTCTATTCACACTTTGCTATTTTGCACTGTTTTTGGCGGCTGTAATCCCGTCATACTGCGTATAATAAAGGCATTCTAAATCTGATCTGATGACGGCTGATTCTCTGGAGGAAGGTCTTGCCCTACATGACGCAAAAAAGGATGCTGCATGTGTATAACGAGCGTTTAAAACGATGCCCTACGGGGAAGCAGCTGCCCAGGTTTCCCCACCTCCCACAGCTCTCTCCTCACTTCTGTCACTATGGCAACGGCTACATCTGAGTGCAAAAAAATAAATAAACGTGTATCTCTCTCTCTCTTTTAAAAATAAATCTCAGATGGTAGGATTAGTGCTGCCATTTAGAAGCCCTTGGCTTGCGTGACTCATGAGTAAATGCACTTTATCCCTCTGTGCGGTCAAACCGTGGTCAGCGTTTTTTTTTTTTTTAAACACTGCAAGCACATCCAGATAGTGGTGGAAGCAATAAAAAAAAATGCCTACCTGTTAACGCTGTCATCAGGTAGCTGCATTGGGAGCAGATCGATGGCAGGAGAGGAGAAGAGGAGGGGGGGTCCAGAGGCTGATGTCAGTGAGAGAATTTCCCCGTTTACTGGTATCTGACTAGAGGAGGAGAGGCGGTCCTTGGAAAGGAGTCGAAGTAAGGGAGAACAGCAGTATCCAGCATCCTCTGCACAACTCCTGCTCCGCCCTGTCAGCGCTTATGTGCACCGTCTGTCCAGCCCTGTCCGGCCCTGTCCAGCCCTGTCCAGCCCTACCACTCTGGATCTGACTGTGTGTGCAAAAAAAGATCCCCTTGTTTCTCCTCTGAGGGCCTGGAAGCGTTTGCGTCTGACTTTTTTTTTTTTTCCCCGTCCCCCCCCTCGGGCCCCGTTAAAAGCGCCCCGCAGTTGTCATGGAGTTGTGCTTCCTGATGGACAATGCCTCTTTTCATTCCGGCAAAGCTTTCAAGTCCAGTGGCTGAGACAGGGCAAAGAGACGGAGACAGAGAGAGAGAGAGAGAGAGAGAGAAAGGAGGGAAGGTTTTCGCTGCGAAAAAAAGCTGCTCGCTCCACGCTACAATATATCCAGTCTGCTCTACGGGCCTAAAAGCTGTGCTGCTCGTTTCTAACGGCTGAGGGATTTTGTTTGGCGCCTTCACACTTATCCGGGAAACAAAACAAAAAAAGGATTTTGTTTGCTTTGACAGGGTCTACAATAAAAAAAAAAAAACAGCTGATAGGTGACGATATGTAAGGTAAAAATAACGCTGTATTTGCTCGTGGTAAGAAGAAAGGGTAAAGCTGCTGAGTGGCGATGGCCGTCGTGAGGGGCAGGAGCCGATCACATGACCCTCAGGGCATGAATTCACGCACAAAAAAAAACAAAAAACAAAAAAGCTATGGGTTTATCTTCTCGTCGAGGCTGGCTTTGAGCTGAGCTTCCAGGGCCATTTTGTCGAAGGTGCGCATGTTGGTTTCCTCGCGCACTTTGTCGCGCACGTGGAAGGAGGCGCGGGCCACCGAGCGGGCGCTCTCCAGCACCGCCCGCTTCTCCTTGAAGATCTGCTCGCTCTTCTCCAGCTTCCTCTCGATGGACTGGAGCAGGTCCAGGCGCCTCTGGCGCTCCTCCTCCTCCACGCGCTGGCGGTTGAGCCTCTGGAGCTTCTCCTTCTCCTGCCGGCTCTGGCCGGCGCGCTGGGCCCTCTCCCGGGCCCTCTCCTCGGCCACCATGGCGGCCTGCTGGCCGCGTTTCTCCGCCTCCCTGGCGCGGGCCTCCAGCAGCTGCTGCTGCTGCCTCTCGCGTTTTTCCGCCGCCGCGCGGGCCTTCTGGATCTGCAGCTCCTCGCGCTTGGCCTTCTCCTTCAGCTCCTGGCCGCGGCGCTCCACGATGTGCCCGTAGTTCTCCAGCGAGCGGCTCAGCTTCTCCTCCGCCGCCCGGCGCGCCTCCTCCCGCTCCTCCCGCTCCCGGCGGGCGATCTCCTGGATCAGGGCGGCGTGGCGCCTCTTCTCGGCCTTGTTCAGGCCCCGCCGGTCCTCGGCGGCCTGGTGCTCCCTCTCCTGCCTCTTCAGCTCGGCCATGGTCAGCCTCTCCTCCAGCAGCAGCCGCTCCTGCTCCAGCGCGGCCGCCCGCTCCTCCTCCAGCGCGCGCAGGTTCTGCTCCTGCAGGGCCTTCTTGTGCTTCTCCTCGCGCGCCGCCTGCTGCAGCCGCAGCAGCCGCCCGCGCTCCTGCCGCTCGGCCAGCTCCCTCCAGCGGCCCTCGCTCTCCTCCGCCTGCCGCATCCGGGCGGCGGCCGACTCCCGCTCCTGCCGGCCGAGCCTCCGCTGGCGCATGGACACCTGCGTGTGCCAGGAGCGCTGGCACTGCAGCACGGCGCGCTGCTTCTCCCGCTCCTCCTGCCCCCGCCGCAGCTCCTCCGTCCGCCGCTCGCTGTCCCACTGGAGGTGGGCCACGTAGCGCGTCTGGCTCATGATGTCCTCCTCCTGGTAGCGGGCCAGCATCAGGGCGGCGATCTTGCGGTCGCGCTCGGACACGGCCCTCAGCCCCCGCCGCTTCACCTCCCTCACGATGCGCTCCACCTTCTGGGTGGTCTGCGGCGAGTGGCTCAGGTCGCCCAGGCTCAGGCTGCGGCCCATCAGGGAGTTGAAGGCGGCCAGGGTGCGGGCCCGGGGGCCGGACGCCTTGGCCCAGTGGTCCCGCGCCCCGTCCCAGCTGTAAGCCGAGGAGTTCCCGGACTCGGAGGAGGTGCAGGTGGTGGTGGTGGTGGCGGTGGTGGTGGGGGAGGCCGAAGAAGAGCACGCGGGCTCCGTCCTTTTCTGCAGAGACTCCAGCGAGTGGCTCTTTCCTCGCGCCTTTGGGGGGAGCCCCGGGTGACCGTTGTGCTGAGAGTAGGGCCCCTTAGCCACGCCGTTCGGAGTCCCGCTCGGCTTGGACACCGACGACGAGGACAAGGTGGTGTTGGCCCTGGGGAAGGAGGGGGGCTTCGGGGAGGATCTGGGAAACGTGTTGGAGGTCTTCCTGGCCACTGGAGGGGGGCCGGACGAGAGAGGCCGGGGAGCTTTCACGTGCTGGGACGAGGAGGACGTCGAATGTTTGGCAGCTCCCTGAAACCCGCCCCGGGAAGGCCCGTTCTTTGAGGAGGCCATCGATTTTGGAGAGCTACTGAGATTGGAGGAGGGGGCTTTTGACGAAGCGGCTGGAGCCGCTTTTTGACCCGGTGATCCGGCTTTGGGGGACGTTCCCACGTCAGGAGCTGAGCCCCCGGAGGGCCCCGTCCCAGATTTGGGAGGCAGGCCGGGGCCAGGGGACGCTTTGTCCACAGAGGACCCGGACGCGCTGTTGACCGCCGCCTGCAGGATCCTCCTCTTCTCCTCCCGGACAATCCTCTCCCTCTCCTCCCTGCATTGCCTCAGCTTGGCGTGCCGCTCCCTCTCGTACACCTCAAACAGGCCCGTGGCCACGCGCATGGAACGGGCGGGGGCCTCCCGGGCGAAGTCGGCCAGCGGGCGGGGCAGGAGCTCCACGGGCTTGACCCCGCAGCGGGCGCAGGCCTCCAGGGAGCGGGGGCTGGTCAGCACGTAGCGGCTGCCCTCGGCCGCCGGCGAGTCGAAGTTGTACAGGTCCAGGTGCAGTTTGGGGGCCGGGTCCGGGTCGGCCGGAGCCGGCGGCGGCTGGGCGGGGGCCCCGGGCCCCGCGGGGGCCGCCGTGTGGCAGGGGCTGGGCTCGGAGCTGCCGGTGGGCGGCGTCTCGAACCCGGCGTCCACATCCTCCTCCGTGGCGGCGCCGTCGGCCTGTTGGGGCAGCCGGGCGTCCTCGCTGACCACCACCGGCCCGTCCAACGGCGGGCCTTTGCACTTGCTCTGCTCCTCCACATCCGAGGGGTCAACCATAGTTGGCTAACGCTGAAATATCGGGAGAAAGCGGACAAAAAAGACGGGGAAAAGAGGTTTTAGTTAGAGAGATTATTGCATTCATTGAAGAGCTTAAAAGAGATGCAGTCTGTGGGGGGAGGGTCATAAGAGACACACTCATGCATGAGCACATATTCAAGCACTCTGTGATTATACACCAGATGAGACATATTCCCTTCAGGGGAAGTGACTGAACACACTAAAAAAAACACCATAGCGCTTTAATAGAAGACCTATTTTTGGCGGAGTTAGTAGGCTGAGAGAATTTGATTCACTAGAGCAATATTTTTCACTCCACATCCCACAGTCTGACACACGAAAAACCAGGGCGACGTGTAGTGTTATCCATCAGCAACGAAATCCGCATCAGTTGTGACACAGAGCTTCATGCTCCCGACACGGGCTCACCGGCCTGGACTTTCCAACTCAAGTCTCCATCGGAGGAAGAAAATATCAAAGATAAGCGCTTAGATCTTCATCCGATATCTAACCAATCGGAGTCAAACTCAACGGGATGACCAGTGTATAAACTAGATGCAGTTTGCTGCAACTGGAGTTGACATAATACCCCCCCCCCCCCCCCATCCCCCCCCTCCCCCCCCCGGATTTTTTGCGCTTTAGGGGGCCCCCCCCCCCCCCCCCCCCCCCGCACCCTCCACTGACCTGCCAGTTTCCAAAACGTCGTCTAAACCGGTTCTTTGTTGCCCTTTAATCCCTCCAGCCCGCCTTGCTGCCCGCATAATATCGGACAGCAGGGAGCAAAATGGGCCGCCCCGGCCCCTTCGATTCAAAGATGGAGAATCACATCGTCGCACACCCCCTGAGCGACACGACGGGCGCAGACGGAGCCGTTCTCAGTCTGTCCGCGTCTCCGACCTCAGCGGATTAAAAAGGAAAGGAGAGAAAGGCATCCCCCTGATCGCGGCCCCCCCCTTGCGTCCTCCGCTCCTCTCCGCGGCCAGAGCGCATCCCGTAAACATCCACACGGTCTCCACCTGCTTTTTTCAGCAGCATCCGCCACCTCAGCATCCGTGGCTCCGCCTGCCCCTGTGTGTGTGTGGCAAACCATCTAAAAATACACTGCCCGTTCTCCCTGAACACGGAACACCACTTTAACCTAAGAGTTAAGAGGGTTAGGTTAGGCTGCCGGCCTCCCCCCACCAGACAGAAAACAGAATGCAAATGGGAAAAATGACTTATTATACGCCGTCATATGCAGAAATTACTGCAACGAAAAAGAAAAAAAAAAGTCCATGTGGACAGGAAAAAACCATGCAAATGGGAACTTGGACTAAACTAAACTGTAAGCAAGAGTTTGGCTTAATGCTCCATCAGAAGGGACATTAACGGCTGTATTCTGTGGAGAATAGAAGAAGAAACGGGGTGTAATTACTCCAAATGGACACAAGGGGGCACTAAAGGACTGTAGATTTCTTCGTAGGAGCGACAAAGAGCGCTCAACGCCAATAGTTTTAGGCTGAAATGACAGGATACGGAATCAAACTTCATGATTGAAAAGTGCAGGATTTTATAACGTCAATATGAACATTTGCAGGGTGTATTTTTTTGTTTACACCTTTCTTTCATTGTTCTTGCTTTTACACCCGTGTACTCGCAAACAACTCAACAAACTGAAATAAGTGACTCAAAACCGCGTGAATCTAATAGGAGTGTTTTTTTCTGCATGTGGTGGTCGAGGCAGTAGCATTCACTCCCCCTCCAACCCCCCGGCGGTCTTTTTTTTTTCAAAAGTAAGTTATAGTAATAGGATGGCTACAATAATAATTACAGGTAGGCTAACACAAACTAGTTCTTCCTCTTCTTTTTTTATGTAAAAAAAGGGGGCAAAAGTCAAATATGGCTCCAAGCTGGCTTTTCTTGACAATTTTAGCCAGTATACTGTTTTACTCTCTGTTCATGCAGCCGTTTCTGATCAATGACTCACAATAGTCAAGAAAATTTGTTAAAGATATCTAGAATAGCCCATTTCCCCCAAAAAATCCAATAAAACAACTCCATTTGTGTTGTTGGTGTATACAGGTATTATTCCTACTTTTATCAAAGTCACTGAAACTTGTCCAAGAAACATGAAAAAAAACCCAATTTGGTTGACAGAGCAGGCCGAATTCACCATTTCATTTCCATATGTTTGACCTTTGACTCTTTTTGAGTGGGTTTTTTAGGCTTTCTCCTATCCACGCACGCCCCTTCCAACGGGGAACGCATCAGATGATGGAACCGGGTTGCCTTTGGATTCTTTTTTTGGGATTTGCGACGGAAAAGTTCACTGGTCTTAACACTGAAGCTACACCTGCAACACTCCTTTTTACCACCACCTCCTCTCATAACTCAGGCAACAGGTGCTGTGTTTGAGACAGAACCACCTGAGAGCTGCTTTTCTGAAAACACGGCGTGCCCCTTAAACGAGGATTAGATAACTCGGGGGGGGGTGAGAATGGCGGCGTTGGTGACCCACTAAACTCCTGACCCGGTGTGGGGAACAGTGCGAGTTTAATTGGCCCCGCCTGTGGGCCCGTATCAAGAGGACAGCGGGCAGCGAGTGACAACAGGGAAGGTGTTGTCTGGCTTGTTAACTGCGGGGGCGTGGAGGGAGGGCCGGGGGGGGGGGTCCGGGGGGCCGGGGGTCCGGGGAGGAGCGCAGTGGCTGCACAGTTCACTGGTGCGGGGGTATGCTCGGCAGAATGTTTTGTGTTTTTGTTTTCGGCGGGGGCAATGTTGCCCCACCACCAAAGATTGTCTGGGGGGTTCATCAAGAGGTGAGCGGCTCCGAGCAGTTATGGAGACCACGGCGAGGCCCAGCTGGTGCTCTGAGTTTTTTTTTTTCCAGCAATGGGAATCAGTCTTCAGGGCCCAAAGCTCAATCGGAGCGAAGAAATGAAGTCAGATGAAACTGTGAAGAAAGAAGAAAGTTTCAAGATAAAAAGGGGATAAAAACTAGTGATATATTAGTACCATCTGAAATCTGTTTTTAACATCAGATTACTGGGCCTGTCAGGTAGCATACATTCAATTTAAAGACTGAGTAATGAACACATCACATGGAGAGTCTTTTGCGTTGTCGGATGAAACCTAGGGGGGAAAATATAAACCCATCTAGCTCCAAACGACGGGAAGTAAACGCAGCATTTCTGTTCATTTCGATTGTTTTCATTGTCTATCTGTCTTTGAGTTCATTACACAGGGAACCTATTTTGAGTCAGTGAACTGACAGATTGACAGCTTCAACTATGAATTCAATGTAAATATTAATTCAAACCTTTTACCAAAAATTATTGTGGTGATAGGAGAGAAGACTGTGGGGTATGGTCTTCTGTTTTTTAGATATAGACTTGTCAAAATAAAACTCTGCACAGTTTCATGTCTAGTTCAAAAACAAAAACCTGTTTATACCCTTGTACACTAATCTTTCATAGATGATAGGATATTGCCACATGTGACTTTTGAATTACTACTTGTCAACTTCCAAAAGACTTCAGACCTAACCATGTTAACTAAAGACAGATTCTCATCCCCTTCAGAAAATATCAGAAAATCCAACAGCAAAAGGGTGATTAAAAACTGAGACCTGTAACAAAGACAACACAAAAGTTGTGTTTTGAGGAGGATCTCTGTGCCAGTCACTCCACTTTCGGAAGCTTACTTTTACACGAAGGCATAACCATAAATTCAGCCAGCAGACAGAGAAAAACTCGGGCGGCTCAGACAACACGCACAGCTCGGCCCGCACGTTCAGCTGACTCTAATTCAGCCGTTTTATTTCCCTTTCGAGCGGCCGACTTTTATTTTCTCGTCTGGAAAAAGGGGGCCAAGCTTTGACAAGTACAGATAAAGACATGGCAAACTCCTTTACAGACCTGGAAGCGGGGAAGATGCAGTCACCCTCAGTACATTTCCAGCTCTATTCCAGAGCTTCTGATTCTTTCCTTTCCCTTCCTATTACAGCGTTTTACTACTGTTGTAGTGGATTGTGCCAGGAAGTTCACTCACAGTTGAGTACATTTGCCGAGTGTAACGCTTGGTCAACATGATACGGCTATCCCAGGTGTATCTTAAATGCTATTTTCTTGATTTCCATGATGTTATCCTTGGTTCTTTTTACTATTATTTTTTTCAATATCTTATTTTTCTCCTCAAAGTCAGGATAACTAAGACAGTATATGAAAGGTTGAACCTAGACAGGAATCTAATAATGCTATTTTTCAAGGCAAATTTTCGATTTAATTAATTTACTGCAACAATTTCCTAAAATTATCCCACTTTCCTTATGATAGATAAGACCATTTTACAGTTTAAAATCTTTCATTAATACGAAAAGAAACTTTCAAGGAGAATAGTTTCGAACTGTGATCACAAGTAGTTGTTTTAAGTTGTTTTAACATAATTATGAAAAAGTACAGAAAAAGAAAAAGATAATGGAAAAGGTGCACCTGATCTAAAGGGACTTTCTGAGTTCACTTTTAAAGCGATTTGCCGTTTTTACCCCGAAATGCTTACCACCATACTTCTTACATCCATGATGCTCTCGTTTCAAAACACAAGATCTGATTCAACAAAGTTTTTTGGGTGCATGTTCCCAGTGGACTGTCTTGTCACTGTCCCACACACTGACCGCCCCCGCTGGAACTCACCGGGCCTGTGAAGGCCGAGACCTTTCTCTGCCCCCCCGGTTCCCGTTTCCAGCCTTGGTTTGCTAACAGAGAGGGCCACGTTTTTCTGGACAGTTTTAGCGACTCCCCCTTTCTGACCCTTTTTGCTTTTTCTCAGCCACCAACCCACTCCTCCCCCCTTTTTTTTTTCTTCTCTGTATTCTGCCGGACCGTACAGGGGTCCCATACGGGTGTGGAATAGTTCCCCCCCCACCCCTACCTCACCCTCAGCTGAAGAGGGGAAAAGGTCCCCGAGACAGAGCTGTTAATTTAATCAGGAGAGCGGTATGCTCAATTAAGCATCCATAAGGG